CAGGTTCGGGGCCAGCACAGAGGGGCCTCCCACAGCCGCCGAGCCTGGGGTCACCACCATGGGCTTGGGACAGTCGGCACTGGTGATGGGGGCCGAGGGCATCTCGTCATCTGAGATTTCCATGTCCTCACCGGAGGACTGCTGGCCCTGCGGAGACAAGGGAGACAGCAGTGAGTGTGAGCCTGGGAGGCCAAGCCAGCCCCCAGAGCCCCCTTCCACACGTCGGCAAGTTGGAGGAGAGGCCTCCAGCCATGTGGCCCTAGCCAGTCACTTCACCTCTTTAATCTCAGTTTCCCCATCTGCATAATGGGCATCATAGTACCTGCCTCATGGGGTGATCATGAGGACTCAGTCATTTCACAAACATTTACTCAGCACTGTCCTGGGTGCTAGCAACACGGCGGCGAACAAGACAGACAAAATCCTTGCGCCCACAGAGCTGGACTTCTAGAGCAGTGGTTCTCAACCTTCCTAATGCCACGACCCTTTAATAGTTCCTCATGTTGTGGTGACCCTCATTTCATTGTTACAAATTGAACATAATTAAAGCATAGTGATTCATCACAAAAACAATATGTAATTATATATGTGTTTTCCGATGGTCTTAGGCGACCCCTGTGAAAGGGCCGTTCTACCCCCAAAGGGGTCGAGGCCCACAGGTTGAGAACCGCTGTTCTAGAGGGAAGAGGCAGAAGGGAATCGGGATGAAGATGTGAATATACCGTCTGTCCTGGAGAAAAAGGAAGCCGGGAAGGGAGATGCGGTGAGAAGAGGAAAACAGATTCTGTTTCAGTTTGAGAGCTTCTGTTTCCATTTGTATTCAGAGAAGATACTAATAACTAACGCCTCTGCGGCTCTCCCCATGTGCCAGGCACCTTTCTGAGCACTTCACATACATTCACTCAGCCAACCCTACACAGCAGGCCTGTTATCTCCCTTCTCACTGAGTTAGAAATGGGGACACAGAGAGCTTCAGTAACTTGCCCAAGGCCACACAGCCAGCAAGAGGCGGAGCCAGGATTTGAACCAGAAGTGGCTCCCCAGCCTGGGCTCCCGGTCAGCCTGCTGCCCTCACTGTGGCAGAGAAAGCGGTGGAGAAGGTGACATGTGACCGGGATAGGGGGGGGGGGCGTTAACAGCACTGAGGGTGCATAAAGAGGGGGTAGGTCTTTATTTTTCCTTAATTACTCTTTTCATCGACTCTCATGACTGCACTTAGTATGGGCCAGTGTGGGGCCGAGTGTCATTTCTTTTTTCACTTTGTTTTGTAAATTGAATGTATTGGGGTAACACTGGATAATAAAGTTATATAGGTTTCAGGTGTACAGTTCTATAACACACCATCTGTAGGCTATGCTGTGTTCTCACCACCCCAAGGCAAGTCCCACCCCTTTCCCTCTGGTAATCACCATACTGTCATCTGTGTCTCTGAGTTTTGGGTTTTTGGGGTTTTTTTTTTGCTTAATCCCTTCACCTTTGTCACACAGCCCCCCAACTCCCCTCCCCTCTGACAGCTGCCAGTCTGTTTTCTGTATCTATGAGTCTGTTTCTATTTTGTTTATTTTATTCATTAGATTCCACATATAAGTGAATCACATGGTGCTTGTCTTCCCTGACTGGCTTATGTCACTTAGCATAATACAGTGGGGCCTTGACTTACGAGTGTCCCAACTAACGAGTTTTTTGAGATACCAGCTGTCTCTCGGCCGATTTTTTGCATTGAGTTGATAGAGTAATTTGAGTTAACGAGCTCCTTAACGAGCTCGGTCTCAGAACGAATTAAACTCGTAAGTCAAGGCCCCACTGTACTCTCCGGGCCCATCCACGCTGTGGCAAAAGGTAAGGTTTCCTTCTTTTTTTACAGGCAAGTAGTGTGAATGCACCACAGCTTTTGTATCCTCTCATCACTGACGGACACTCGGGCTGCTCCCAAATCCTGGCTATTGTAAGTGACGCTGCAGTGAACACACGCGTCCCATTTCCTATCCGCGCTGTAACCTCGGGATGCGGGCTCTACTGCAGCCCCTCCTGACAGGCGAGGAGACAGGCCAGGGAGTCGAAAGCCACTGGCCCAAGAGGCAGAGCCAGTCATAATCGGCCAGGACTCAAGCCAGGATGCCGCCCAGAGCGGGGGCTGCTGCTGGTTCCGGGGACCTGGTAGCCACCCCTGGTGAACAGGGGAGTGGAGTTGAGGATGACCCCCGCTCTAAAATGGGCAAGGGCCAGTGTACACTGGGATGCAGGGGGAGGCCTGGGGTTGCACGGTGGAGGTGCAGCAAGAAGGCAGCGGGGGTGGGGAGAAAAGGGCCGGGCCACCCCCAAGCTCTTCAGTCTGGACAAGAGGCGAGAAGCTGCCCTGGATGAACCTGGCTGAGACGGAGCCTTTTGTAAGTTGCCAGCCTGGAGTGCGTCTAAAGGCTGAGGGGACGGGGTCTGTGCAGACTGTAAGGTCAGCCTATAGGCGAGGAAGGCCTCAAAGGAAAAAAGGGGGTGGGAGGTGGGGGTGGAGAGGAATAGCAAATCTATGGCGGCAGCAGCAAAAAGCCCTGGCTTTAGCTAGGTCCTCTCTATTCTCCTCTCTCTTCCCCTCCCTCCCTCCCAGGGTCCCCACGCCTATGCTGAGAGCAGACTCAGCCTGGGACTCAGGGACAGCGCCCAGATCAGCCCTGGACAGCGCCCAGCGCCCAGCGCCCAGCAAGACGGGCGCCGCAAGCAGAGGGTTAACCCAGCCGGCCAATCACAGGGAGACGGGATCTGCGCGCTTCAGCCCTCGGTCGGCCCCTCCCTCCGCGCCTGTGGTGAGAACCAGAACCGGTGGAAACAGCCCGAGCGCTCAGCACCAACCTGCACCAACCCATGCTGTGCCTGGAGCTTCCCTTGCGGCACCTCACTCAGGCCCAGACGGTGTGAGACAGGTGCTCTCACCATCCCATCTCACTGACAACGAAACTGAGACTCAGAGAGGGAAAGTGCCTTCCCTAAGGTCGCGTAACCAGTGAGTGCCAGAGCCGGGGCTCAGGCTCAAGGCCTGGCGCCTGCAGTTTTAACCACCAGTCTCTGTGAAGAAAGGGAATCTCCCCCGTCCCGTCCCCCCCCCAACGGGCCTCCCTGCGCAGCTCTCCAGCCCCCAGAGCAGGCGCTTGCAACTCCCAGGTCAGTCCCGAGGAGCCGGGATGCTGCTCTCCCGGCTGCCAGCAGGGGGCGCCCGAGGCCAGCCTGGAGGTAATCAGTGCTCCCAGGCTTCCCTGGGCTAAGGTCCTGAAGCATCCAGGACCCCAGCTCTCTGGGCCTCAGCCTCCCCGCCCCCCACTTCCCTACAGTGACTCGGTGGGAAAGCCCACCCTCCGACTACTCTGTGCTTCTCTGCCCAGCTGGTCAACGGAGGGAAGAAGGGAGGGCCGCTGGGCTGGCAACCCCCACCTCTGCACACCTGTCAGCTCCCCAGGCTTGGACTCCTTGGCACCTGAAACCACTTCCCCAGAACTGCCTGAAGGCCCCTGGAGCCCCAACCACCTGTGGTCGCTCCTGGGCAGGCCGTGTTCCTCTCTGTTCCTCCCTGAGGCAGCCAAACCCGCCTAATCAAAGCGCCCGGGCGGGGGACCCTCCTCCTGCCACCCACAGGGGCACTGTGCTCTGTCTAAGCCCCTGGCTGCTCATGCCCATCGGGCCCACAGGTTCCAAGCGGGTGTCCAGGAGGGCCAGGGCGGGTGCCTGGACCAGGAGGGGGAGGAGTGGTCAAGGAAGGTGACCTAGTACCCGCCTCCAGGCAGCACCGCCCCCCACCTCCAATCCTGAAGCTGGAGGTTCGGGCAATGAGACCCCAGGAGAGGATCTAAGGGTGAGCAGAGGGTGGAGGGTGGACAACTTGGCCTGCTCCTGGCTGTGGCCCTCCCCCTGTGCTAGCCCTTAACTCCTTCACTACTGGAGCCAGGGAAAGTGGGAGGAGGGAAACTTCAATGCCCTCCCTGCCTGCCCGCCATGGTTCCCCTTCTTTCTGGAGGCACCGGGTGCAGGAGACAGGGCTCCAGGGGTCCCACCCTCTCCCCAACCTTCCTGAGCCTCGGGACCAGCCCTGGATCATCCCTAAGGCACCCAACAGAGAAGGGAGCCCACACCATCACCACAATCCATACGCTCTGGGACCTGGAAACTCCTACCAAAAAAGATCAAGTCAGAATGGGTCCCTAGGAAGCCTTGACTTCCCGTTCCCGACCAGGAGAGCGACAGAACTAGGGCGCCCTTCCCTTCTCTCCACGGCTACTCGGGAACCTAAGAGCCAGACCAGCGGCTCAGTCACAGCCTCGTGCTTTTCGCATCCTTTTTTTATTCTCTACAGACTGACCTGTTATTTTGGCTGCCCTAGCCCTGTTGCTTCTGTGTCTTAGCTAGTTGTCCAAGGAGAGGATGTTTCAAAGGGGTAAGGAGGGAGACACCAGACAGACAAAACCAACCCCAGACAAGAGACGGACAGACAGGGTGGTACCTCATCCATCTTCTCTGAGGTCGGGGTCCTGTCTCCAGCCAGGTCCAATGTCACCTCAGTTGTCTGGCCCAGACCGGTGGGGTCTGGGGGGCCTGGCTCGGGCGGGGGTCGGGGCCCCAGCCCCAGGTCAAGCTCCTCGTCCTCATCCGAGTCTGGCAGGGGCGTGGGGCTAATGTCCTCCAGGCCGGTGCTGGAGGGGCGTGAGGAAGGCGGCGTGGGGCCTCGGAAGCCCGGCTGGGAGTTCGTGCCGAAGGGAGCCAGAGGGGAAAGCTGGGAGGAGGAGGAGGAGATGGGGCTGCCCTCCATCTGCAGCTCCGTGTCCGAGTCCTGCTCCGGGAGGAAGGGTAGCTTGGTTCGCTGCTCCTTCAGCAGCATCTCGATGCGCGAGTCCAGGCTGTCGTGGGGCTTCTCCAGCCCCACAGGCGACGACTCCAGGGTGGGGGTGCCCGGGCTGTCGCAGGGCTCGGGACTCCAGC